TTTCATATACATGCTGACAGTGGCAAGCCAATTTTTTTTTTGTTTTTTCTTGTTGAATAACGCCAAATCAAATCCAAAAAATCAAAGACAGTGTGACATAGCATGTACGAAGCATACATGCTTCCTTACATGGGAATGTGAGAATCTCTACTTCATCACTACCGTACCATATATGTAATACTCGTTGTTGCTTCATACTTATATACCTTCTATACTTATGCATCGTGTCTAACTGATTATGGATGTACTCCCTCCGTCCCATAATATAAGATGTTACATAGCTTGCAAAAATGTCTTACATTATGGGACCGAGGGAGTATATTTCAAGCAGTTGCGTGTTGGCTTTGGAACTGATGGGCGCAGCCGGTGACATATATGGAGGCGACTGATGCATGCACTAGGAAGTGTGATGACTCATGACACTTGGATCTGCCCTACAATGAGGTCGACCGCAAGCGAAGGGAATCATGTCTACGGTTTATAGGGAACATACAATTATTGGCTTACGGAAACATAGTACACACTGTTGGTGACTTGAACTAAATAAATTTGTACCATGTCTGAAACTTATTGTAAGAACGAACGAACCAGGGAAACAAACTTATGTTCGAGTAGAAGCAAATTAATTTTACCATGGAAGCACTTTTATTATTAGATGGAAGCAAAGTTTCTTGTTGGAAACTGATAAAAAAGATACATGGGAGCAAAGTATTTGGAAACAAATTGTTACGTCCAAAAAAGTTTGGCTGAGATCGAAGCAAATTATCTCATCGGTGGAAGCAAGCTTTTGCTGCATTAAAAACAGAATAAAATGTACATGGGATGCATTTTTCATCGAGCAAATTTGCTATGCACTAGAAGCAAAAAAAAAGTTTTCTAAAAAATGTGGAATAAAGTATGAAAATATAAGAATTTAGATGGACTTTAAATTATATCACAGTGTTATTTTCTGAAGAAGTTAATTCAAGGAAGCAAATAGGAATAAATATGGAAGCATCGTAATCACAGGAGTATAATTTAGAAACTAACTAGAGGAAAGTCGGCTGCACGCTGGGCACCTAATCACGCCCTGCAAGTGTAATCAATCTAACGGCTGCCCACTAATCTGATCCCTAGTGATGCACATTGGTCTGCACCTCCCTAAGAGTCTCTCTACCCTCCACCACCAGCTTCACAAAGGGCTTCAGGGAACCAATTTAGCTCTAGGGCTATTTGTGAATTCTAGTAGTGAAGTTACTATTTACATTTTTTTCGTACCCATAATTTTGTCTTTTTGCCAGAATTTCCACATAATGCATTTTGTCGCGAAACTTTACGCACATGTATAACGCTAGATTTCCTGCAAAAAGTTTCAGAAATATTCGACATTTTTCTAATGCTTTCTTTAAATTTTGTTTGCTAAATCGGGTGCTGCGTCTAGACCCATGTCTCAAAAATTCACACCGCGTACTATTCTGACTTTGATATCCGGTCTCTGTACCTAGCAGACAGGCTTGCTTACTTGACCTCTTTTTCTCTAGGTCCACGCTGAAGGAAGAACTCTTCTCTGTACGCGCACGAGACCTGAAAATCTGCATCATGTCATTTTCTGTCAATTTTTGGTTCTGTCTCAGCACTTCGTTTCCTTTGTACGTATGTCCCTGTACGCACCACACTTCTGGAGTCTTCCCACCAGCACGCGGTTTGGCACTTTAAAGAGTGAATCTTCTTATATAACCATCAAGAACTCAAATTTAGGCATGCACAAGGAATAAGAGTTACTCCACAGGAAAGTTCAATAGCTACTCCACATACTATTCTGAGGTTCATATGTTGTCTGTCTATACCGAGTAGGTCGACCTATTGCTTACTAGACCTTTTTTTTTCTCTTGGTCTGCGCCGCAAGAAGAACTCGTCTCTATTCGCACACAAGACTTGAAATTTTTGCATCATGTCATTTTCTGTCAATTTATTGTTCTGTGTGAGCAGTGGCGAATCTTGTAAGAAAATCAAGGGCAGGCTCAAAGTTAATTATGTGAAAAAAAAGTCACCAACCCCCAGCTCTGTTGTGCAAACAAGGTTAAAATTTGCTAGAATACTAGCAGAAACATGTACTATTAACTACTAAAATATTCTTTTGCATCGCTGGAGGGCAGGCTCAAGCCTATTAAAGCCTGCCCAGTTGATTCATCACTGTGTGTGAGCACTTCATTTCATTTATATGTCCCGGCACATACTATATCCCACCGGTACATGGTTAACACTCTTGCCACCCCTCTGATTGGACTGTGTTTTTCCTCTATGTAAAATTTTCAGTGCATATAAGTCTTATCCGAAGTCGAACTTGGTCAATTTTGTTGAAAGAAATATATGAGTATTTATGATACAAATGTATATCATATGAAAATTTATTTCAGTGTGAATCTAATGGTATTGTTTTTGGAAAAGGAGGCTTGCCCCGGCCTCTGCATCGGAACGATGCATGCAGCCATCTTATTAAAAAGTCTTGAAGTAGCACAAAGTCATAAAAGTATTACAGCTCGCAAGCGGAACAAAAAGGAAAAGAAATGTGAATGCTCAATATCACAACCGGTATGACAATGTAAAGGACAAGCTCCCTAGACTCCTATCTTGTTATGTGACCGTCATTCAAACCGGTTGAATATAGCCCGTGCTACCATCTCTCACTGGTTGCACCTAGTAACCAATGGCTCCCTGGAGTCCGTAGGAATGAGTAAGGACCACGCACGGATCCATGCGGTAGCTCTAAAAATGACCTGCAAGAAAGTTAAAAATATAATATCTGTTAAAAATCATATATTCCTGCAATTTCATATAGCCCATATAAGTGCACATATTTCAAACCTAATATGAGCCGCAGTAATATGACCAACCCCAGCTAACGTAAAAAATTATCACCGTTAGAAGTCGTATCAAGCCGCAAGTCGCAACGGTGTCCGGAACATTTCTAGATATATATTTGACTTATCACATATGTAAGTGGCGGCTTAGCCCATGGTCACAGGATGATTTTTTTTCTCTCAACACGGAAGGTAGGACTAAAGTGAAGTTGTGGACCTT